CCGCCGCAGCCGCGGCGCCCTGGAGGAGGCGGCCCCCACCCGGGCCGTACAGACGCCGCAGCTTGGGAGGCAGGTGCAGCTCGGCCTCGAACGGTGTGCTGCTGCCTTTGGGGGAGCCTGCGGGCAAGGGAGCTTGCTCAGCGCGCCTGGCGCCGCCCAAATCCCAACCCTTCCTCTGCTTCCCCACTTTCTGGCCGGCTTTTTCTTCCTTTCTCTCGTTTCCATCCTGTCTCCCTTCTCTCGTCCTCCCTCCATTCTTTCGTCTCCTTCGTTCACTCCTCTATTTTCCTTCCTTCCGTCATCTCTTCCTCTGTTTCCTGGATTTGTTTTCTTTTAGTATGTGTTCTTTCCTTATCGTTTTTTTTTTCTCTTCCCCTCTCCCTTCCTTTCTTCACCCCCTTTTCCTTCTCTCCCCTTTCTTTCCATTCTCATTTCGCGCGCTTCTTCCCTCCTTTCCTACCTTCCTCTTTTTCTTTATTCCCGTTGCCCTCTCTCCCACTTTGTTTCTCTCACCCCCAATTTCGGGCTAGGGAGGAATCCTAAAGCATTCAACAACTTAAAAAATTTTTTTAAAAATCACTGCTACGCCGAAAACTTTGCGCACGACCTTTGCGCGCGCCGCTTCTCCTTTGGGTCCTCGATGGGCGAGAGGGGCGCTGCCCCACGGGCGACCCCTATGGGGGGAATAGGCCCTCTGGCCCGGGGCGCAGGCCTCGCCCCAGCCAGCCCGCAGCGGGAGGGGCCTTGGGATCTGAGCACAAAAAGGCAAAGAAAAAACATCTCCAAGAAAAATAGCTGGGAAAGGGTTGGGGTGGAAGCGGAGAGGGGCTCAACCGACACAGACTGCTCCTTCCCTTTGAGGAAGCGCCTCGCACATGGGCCACCGCAGACGGAAAAAAAAGGGAGTCATTTTTGTCTTAAAGGGTCCCTTCTCTGCGCCCCCTCCTCTCTTCCAAGTGGCGCTGCGGCTGGACAACTGGTTTTCGTTTTATTTATTTATTTATTTATTTTACAAGAAATCAGCCATTCTTGCCCTGTGATACTCCTGCAACCAGCTCAAGGCGAAACTTGAGTGTAACAGGTCCGCGGGGGAAAACGACAGTGGATCTGGAATTTTTAATATTAGGGGGGGAAAAAAACCCTTTCAAACAACTTCTCAACAGCTCAACTCTATTTTTTTAAATAACACAGCAGAGAGGACTAAAAGCAGCCACCGAAGAGCCGCACGTTTTAGACATTTCAAACACAATTAGGAGCATTTGGGGAAATCCTGGGGAGACGTCTTTTGCAAAACTGAGGTTTAAAAGGTCACAAGTAACCTACAAATAATAATAAAACAAAACACCCCACAACCAAATACCGCATATAAAGAAATCCTGTCGGAAGGAAAGGCCGAGCTCACCAGGCCTGGAGACCCCCATTCACTACGCTTTGGGGCTTCTTGTCTTCTTAAGTTGTCGCTACAAGGATCCACCCTGGCACCGGCTACTTCTGACCTGTAGCCTCTCTTTAGAGTACAACCAAGGCCTCCAAAGGGGGCATTTAAACGGCCTACGACCAACACCAAGGACCCAAGGGCCCGGAAAGCGCAGCCGGGCCTCTGTTGCCTGGGAGCCGAGAGGGAGGGAGAGACCGCCCCTGGAGAAATGGTTACCGCTCTTGGAAGCACCAGGCCTTTTCTTCTCCGACTTCAGCTGGACAACCTTAGGCCCGTACCTCCCAGACACCAAACACCCCAACCAGTGCCCAGCGCCCTACATAGGGGTCAGGCGGACACAGGCTTACCTTGCAAGGCCTTCTCCTGGTCCGCGCGGCTGGCTAGCGGGGCAGGCAGGCTCTGCGCGGTTCCCAGCAGTCGCATCTTGCAGGGGCTCCTCCGGCCCAGTATACTGTCGATGCAGTAGGAGGAGAGCAAAGTTGGCGATTTACTTTTGCACTCCGGCCTCTCGGAGCAGCCCTCGTCCTGGTACTGGTTGCTCATGGCTGGGGGCTTTTTCGCTGGGCGCAGTGAGCGGGCCGCTGGCTGCCTCTCCCGGTAGGGGGAAGGCTAGAGGTGTGTTGGGGCTAGGGGTGGAGGAACGGCTAGTGCTAACGCGGATAGGTCAGCGATCTTTGTGCTCTGCTTCCCTCGCTAGCTGGTTGCCGGCTCCCGCCCTGCCTGCGGCCAGAGCTCGTCCTCTCAACGCTCAGGACAAGCGGTAACAAGTGTAGTGAGCTGCGGGCGCGGAGCGCTGGAGTCTCTCTCCTCCACGTGCTGAGAGGCGTCCTGTGATTGGCTCTCGCTAGAGGCCGGGCTGAGTCGGACTGGGGGCGCTGCGCAAAGCCCGGACTGGATTTTGGAGGGGGCGCGGGCGGGGGCAGCGGGCACGCACCAGCGCCAATGTTCTTTTGTGTGTGTGAGTGTGTGTGTGTTTGTGTGGTTAAACTACCAACTTTCGAAGTTCGCCATCGCCTTTTTGCTGCTCCTCCTTTAGCCCTTTTAGGTGGGCACGAAGCTCTAATCCTTTCTGATGTCAGGTCTGTAGAGGCCACTTGGGTGGCGGGCGCCCGAGGGCCTCTCTCCCAGGAGGAGAGGCCTGGAGTCTCCCGCTGGGACCGATCAGGCACTTCTGGTCAAGCGGAGATCACGTCCGCCTGGGCCTCAGGGCGCGCGCCATGCTGGCCTCTCTGGGTGGGACCGGCCTTACAAGTACCTGCAGGCAACACCTGGCGTCAGAATGTCCAGATTTCTCTTGTGACCCAAAGTCTTGCGCCATTTGTCTTCATCTGGAGACGGGTGTTGCTGTCTTGTTAATAGAGTTCCCCAAAAGTCCCCCTTCAAGACAAAGCTCTGCCCACCGCGCGCGGGGTTCCCTATAGCCCTGATGGAGCTGAAAGGGACCCAAGAGGGTGCGGCTGCGAAGGGCGGCTGCGGACGGGTCTGGGGTCTTCCCCTCCACCCCGACTCACCTCCCTTGTAACCTCACAAGTTCGTCTCTGTTAGTTAGATGGTCACCCCAAGGCTGGATGCCCTTAAGCCATGCCCAGGAACAGAACCTGCGGGTTTCTCTGAGTGCCCCTGATTGGGGAAAAGCCCGGTCTAAGCGCCCCCCCCCCATTCTCCTGGATCCTCAGGCCAGCCCCCCACTAGCAAAGGTGAGAGGGATGAGCCCGAGAACAAGCGCGTTTCTCCCCAAGCAACGTCCTGCGCGGCCAGCAGGAGAATCAAGACCTGTCCCCAGCTGATGTAGGGTAGAACCCGGGCGAGGGGCCAGCACGGACGCCTTCGCTGTGGGTGTGGGGCCTGAGAGCAAGCCAGGGGCCCTGATGCGGGCGGGTGGGGGCGAAGGAGGTGGGTGGGAGAAGGCCGGGGCAGGGAATCCACGCCGGGTTTTCGTCTCTCAACCCCCTTCTCTGTGTCAAAGAGAAAAGCGTTTTACAAAGGATTATACTTGAATCACTTACAGTCAGTATTAAAAAATACAAGGATGCATAACTAGGATTTTTTTTTTTTTTAACAGCCATAAACATCTGCATAACTCTTGGATGCTGGTGGGTGGCAGACAGATCGGGCTGGCTTGGCAAGAGCATTTGAGATACAACTTGAGGAGAATGAAGGGTTGGGAACAGGCACATTAATAATGCTAATCCTAATGCGGATACTACGACTACTATTATAGGCAGGAGGGAAAAGAGCTCAGCTCGGTCCGTCTCTGTCTCTTTCTCACTCTCAGGTTTTTGGTTTCTCATTTTTTCCTATCCTTAGATGATGGGGTGCAGGGAGCAGAGACGGAGAAGCCGAGTTATCACTGATACTTGATTTTCTTTAAGTCCTCTCGGTGGTTCCCAGGCACCTGGGACCTTCTCCTGCCTCTCCCGCATTCTCCCTTCTCCATCCTCGCCAACAGTTGAGGTGTTTGTTTGTTTGTTTGTTTGTTTGTTTGTTTGTTTACACATTCTGTTCAACTTTTAAGCAGCCTGTGGTGTTCTGATTTACTCCCCTCTCCTACTTCGTCCCCCTGGCCCGGAAAGCACAGCCCCGGTGCGCGGGGCTCCTCGGAGGGGAGCGACGGAGAGACGCGACGGTGTACTGGGCGCCTCCAGCTGCGGACCCTCGCATGTTGTCCCTGAGGTTGGCATACAAATGGGGGCACCGAGGCATTGTTTCTCCTCGCCAGGGCCCGCATCGGAAATCCACAAGACCCGGCTGCCGGGGGGCTAGGTGACTTCAGAGTAGACTCAGCACACGCAGGGAGTGGTGGGCTGTGAAGCAGGCCAAGAAAAATCGTGTTCAACAACCAGAGACACAAATGCACAAATCACTGCAGAGAACCCAATGGAGTTGAAATTCTCTCCGCAGAAGACTTCGCTTCCGTCGGTTCCCCTCCTCCCCTTTCTGCAGCTGTTCTCCTGCTTTTAAAAAAGAGTTGGACTTTCTACTGGGGGTGTAGTCTAATTTTAAGCATCCACTGTAAAAGGGGAGGTTAACATAGAATTTCTGATTCTGATGGAATGACCTCTGGAACTAAACTGAATTCTATTAATGGCATGGCCAGGATTTCTCTGGGAGACCCGTGTGAAGACACTAGCTTGGTCTGTTTTGTTATTTTCTTTCTTTCTTTTATGGTGTCTTTCTTGATCAACCTTCATAAGTGAGGCTGGTGCCGGGAAGGCATGTCCTTTCACATTGGGGAGAAGGGGCGCATTTTTACACCCTGCAGTGATCTTTGTCACATTCAATACCCCACTTCAAAATTGACTGTTGACTCTCGTCCAGATAAAAAACAAACAAACAAAACCCAGAAACTTTTATGACATACCAAAGGGAGATGGAATTTGCTGGTGTCGCCACAGTGTCTGATCAGAACATGGGTTTAAGACGTCTGGGTGTGATCCTATGTGTTCTTTTTAAAAAAGAAAAAAGAGAGAAGGTTCCCTCTAATATGGAAGAAGAATGGAATTGGTTTGTTGACTAGGTAGACTTTGACTAGGTAGAAAATAACTTTTAGTTAAGCACAATTTGATATTTACTGTCAGCAAAATGACACCTTACTTTCTTCACTTCTTTTATCCACTAATCAAAGTAATTTCCTTTTAGTGATCATATTATTTATGTTTGTACATTGCTATTCACAAACACCTAGTTCCCCTCATCTTTGGGATCTACAATGTTGGATTGCTTTTTCTGCTCTGTCTGGAGAACAATGGTTTGAGGTTCATCTGCTTGTGAAATCAATCACTCAAATAAGAATGACAATGGAGGTTGGAAGTAAGGGTCACAGGAGCTTAATTAAAACTCTTGGCTATGATAAAAATGAGCTTTGTCCCCAGGACCGGAAATAATAATTACTTTGAAGAGGCGAATGGAAGAAACCTCCTTTTTCTTCTGTGGTGAGAGCAAATTCTATACTAGTTTCAAAATGGTATTTGCAAGAAACGCGGGATAAGGGGGTGGCAGTTATGTCATTATGGGGGGGGGTTTAGAGTAGAGTTAACCGCACACATGTTTCATTTGAGATGTTTTAATTTAATGTGCAATATACACACAGATAAATAAAGCTATAATGGGCTTCCAGCCGCACCGGACACCCCAGGTCTCCTTAAATTATGCTCAACTTCTTCAAAACATATATTTAAACAATAGAAATAAACTTCATTGGCGTCTGGCGACCAATTTGGAAGCCATTGCAAGGGAAGACAATAAGTCCTGATTACACTCAAGGGTTCTCCGTGATGTGAGATCCCTTTGCCAAATCATTTTACTGTTTTATGTATTTCATCTTTCTCGTGCTTTCGCTCTCTCTCTCTCTCTCTTTTTTTAACAAACTTTCATTCATTTATGGTCTTCCGCAACCTGCTAATTTAACACTGGAGCGCGTTATTGCAGTGTTAGGAGGAGAGAAAGAGGGAGAGAAAACAACAATACTGCAATGATCCAAATGATACAGTAGAATTATAGCAATTATAGTTCTACTTGTGGAAGAAAACCTTGCTGAGATCAGGCAAACAAACTGAAGCCTAGTGAGGATAACACGCCTCGCGATTGACAGCCGGTGCTGGGAAGAGCTGGAGGGCATGAACTGAAAGATTGCCTCCCCCTACCCTCCTCCCTTAACTCCTACCGGTAAAGGTTAGCCTCCTCAAATGCTGCTTTCAGAGTCACAGCCAGTCTAGGGTCTGCATTTTCCTCCCTAAATTCAGTATTGGATTACCCAGTAAGCAAGGTAAGCACGAGTTTACTGGTGCTTACTGACTAATCTGTAGTGAACAATTTCACATGTTTTCACTACAGTGAAATCCTGCTTCCAGGTCTGGCTGGCATCTCTTCCTCTACCAAGTCCACAGCACCTTACTACAGAATCAAAGCTTGTTTTCAAACGTACAGTCCACATGTGGTGAAACCCCTGTGAAAACTAAACTATTTACTACAGATTAGTAAGTTGTTGTTGTTGTTATGTGCCATCGAGTCGGTTCCGACCCATAGCGACCCTGTATTAGTAAGTAAGCACAACTAAACCCGTGCTTACCTTACATATTGGGCAATCAACTTCTGGCCCAGATCCAGGTCTGTCCTCCTGGAAGTCTGATAATAGGAGGAAATGTGACCCCCATCCTATTATCCGATTGCCTAGCACGGAGCCCCTCACCTTCTTGGCCCCCTGCCTCAGTTCTTCCCCACCGACGCTTGCACATGTTTGTGGAAGCGGTTTGTTTGTTGATGTGTTTTGAGGGGTAGCCCATGGGAAGGTCCAAAGGGACCGAGAAATTGGCTTTTCGGCGGGGAGTGGCTGTGGAAAGCAGCTTTTTGGGAAGCAGCAGTGTAGGGCCGAGCCGCCCTCGAGGTAGGGACATGTTATAGGAAACTCCACTTATTTGCAAACTTGGCCACTTTCTGTTGTCCCTCAGCAGCCAGGGGAGGGGTGGCACAGCAGAACTGGGGCGCAAACAGGACCCCCTCCCCATCTTCCAAGCAGGTAGCCACGGAGGCATTCGTTCGCAAAT